CGGCCCCCCCCAAATATGCAGCGGTTCACGTTAACGCAAAGCGTCATGTCCTTGCACTTTGACGTCATCTTTCGCTCAGGACTGCCCCGTGGATTCCGGAGACTTCCGGGCTCAGCAGTGTTCCGCCCACGCCGACGTCCGCTACCAGGGCCAGTTCCACGAGTGGCTGCCTGTATACAACGACCCGGACAACCCGTGCGCCCTCAAATGCAAAGCGAAGGGGTCCGGGCTGCTGATGGAGCTGGCGCCCAAGGTTCTAGATGGGACACGTTGCTACACTGAGTCCCTAGACATGTGCATCAGTGGCATGTGCCAGGTGGGTCAGAGCGCGACAATATTACAAATCCTGAACGCAATCTCATTATCTTCAAATGATGTTTCATTATCGCTATGTGATGATCAACCGCGGCGCCTTATTACTCAAGCTAGTGTCAAATGATCACGTCTCCAAGCACTCCCAGGTCCCATCACGACTGAGATAGTCTTCGGCCGCCCGGCGTGCGTGTTTTCCCAGATTGTCGGCTGCGATCATGAGTTGGGGAGCGCGGTCAAAGAGGACAACTGCGGCGTCTGCGGCGGCGACGGCTCCTCCTGCAGGCTGGTGCGAGGGCACTACAAATCTCAGCACGCCTCAGGAAAAAGTATGTCAAGATCTGTTTTTGTTGTAACACAGGTTGAATATATGTTATTAAAATACATCTTGTCCCACCCCCCCTTTCTCTCCTGAAGCGGAGGACACTGTTGTCGTCATCCCCTTCAAAAGTCGACATGTGCGTCTTATTCTGAAAGGACCGGATCACTTGTGTAAGTCCTGGTAGGTCCGGGGTGCTCTTCCATCCACATCTGCCAAATACTGTACAGTGGTACCTCTTCTTAAAAATGTCTCTTCATCCGAAATTTTCAAGTTACAAAACGTCTCTAGAGGAACATCTTGCCTCTTGTTACGAAAGACATTTCAAAATACGAAAGGTAAAAATACAGTATGGTCTGCTACTCGCAACTCCGAGTTTCCTGAACGCAACATACTTATAGCTGCTCTGCCATTGGCTATTACCGAGCATCATCCTGCCATTCCATTGGCTAAGAGGGACCTCTACTGAAAGTGTCTATGTGGGCTGATAGATATAGAATGTGTCTATGCAGCGTTCTTGTCTTTTGCCCCTCGGGCCACGAGGCATTCAGATAGTTTTACGTAAATGTCAATCACCCAGAAAAAGTTTTCACCAGTCCGGCGATCGCTCACTATGCTGATGTTTGCCTTGGACATTTTCGAAAGATTGTTCAAAGCCGACAAAAGCAAACGTCCTTGGATCAGTTCTTTACGAAATGCCAGGCAGAAACCACTTCTGAGAGTGAACATGAACGAAAGAGGGCAAAAAAACGATGAGGACGCGTTTAAAAGTTAAATGACCATCATTCTTATTCTTTATTCTGTATTGTTTTTTTACATGATGTACAACTCATTTATTGTGCAATAATCTAATTGTAACATGTATTTGTTACATATTTTGATGCATTTAATGCTTTAGGAAACATTTATGTCTGAATTTTGGGGGGACTTGGAACGAATTAGGGCATTTACATGGAAAACGCGTCCCTACTTCTGTTATGTTCTAGTTAAGGAATTTCTAACAGAACCAATTAATTTCGCAGGTAGAGGTACCACTGTACTTGTGCTCGATAGCGTCAAATGCCTCACTGTACAATTTTTCCCAAACTGCATGTTCCGGTATCGCCAGATATTGTTCAGCCTTTGGAACCAAGCAGATGCCTCCATCAACAAATGTCATCAGCCGACAAATTAAATCACTCGCTAATCATACGTTTAACCTACTGTATGTTTTCTTTTCAAGTTAGCTTTCCCAAGCCCCTTTTTTCTGAATGGAGAGCTTTTTCATTCTCCTTTTGGCACGCAAATTGGAACCATGTGTGCACAGATGTTGACTGTTGTTGGTTACCGCTCAATCCTGCGCTCCCCAATGTTTTCGTTGCCCTTAATGTCCTTGTTGGAAATCCACATGGCCGTCTTGGGTTAGGGTTGAAGTGAGGTCAACTCCTGTTAGAGCTTAGCGGCAGCATGTCAAAGGGAGCGACTTTCTCTCCAAACCTTCGAGTACGTTTCCTGTCCGTTTGTTTAAAGTGCGGTCATGGTTGGCTCGCGAAATGGGGGCACCTGCCAAGGATGCAAAATGTCCGCGGAATCTAAGACTGTGACAATCATAGTATGAATCAGAAGAGTTATCCCCCCCCCCCACCCCTTCCATATGTGCGCACGTATTCGTTCCCTTCTTCAGATGTGGAGAGTAAGACTCTGCAAGGCGTGAAAGGCCAATGCATCTTGGATCAATCAGGGCAGTACCAACTGGAAAACACCACCCTGGACTACCAGAAACTGTCAGATAAGGAAGTCCTGCGAATTCCGGGGCCACTTGGGGCTGATTTCACCATCCAAGTAAGCGCTCAGAGTCACTTCAGGTGCTTTAAATGTGGAGTTATTGACACTGCTGTTCAAAAGTTTCGCTCCCATCATTTATGGAATTTCTCAAATATTCTTCTGGCAGGTCCAATTTGCAGGTGGACCGGACAGCATCATCCAATACATATTCTACCAGCCCATCGTCCACCGCTGGAGGGAAACGGACTTCTTCCCTTGCTCTGTCACTTGTGGCGGTGGTAAGTGAGAGAGATACTTGCTGTGAACTGTTTTCTGTTTGTAAACAATCGGTTGGGGTGATGAGAAAATGATGAGGAAAAAGTCAGATATACTCCGAAAGGTTTTGTTTTAATGTGGGGGTGGGGAGTGTATATCCCTCCATCCATCCATTTTCTGATGCGCTCATCCTCACAAGGGTGGCAGGGCGTGCTGGATCCAATCTCAGCTGTTTTCGGGGAGTAGCCTGAACTGTGCAGAGGTGCAGGGTTGGATTCCGGCTATGGCCTTCTTATGTGGACTTTGCATGTTCTCCCCGCGCTTGCGTGGGTTTTCTACAGGTACTCCAGTTTCCTCCTACATTCCAAAAACATGCGTGGCGGGTTAATGGAACACTCTGAAATTGTCCCTCGTTGTGGGTGTGAGCGCGGATGGTTGTTTGTCTGTGTGCCCTGCGATTGGCTGGCAATCAGTTAAGGGAGTACCGCGCCTACTGCCCGTAGACAGCTGAGATAACCTCCAGCACACCCCGTGACCCTTGTGAGGATAAACAGATCCGAAAATGGATGGATGGATAATGGATAGCCAATCGATTCTATTCTTTAGCCCATCCCTCAATGATCAGGTTGACTATGTCAACCACATCTTTTTTTTTTCATCAATTCACCGGGTGCAATGTAAATCACATCTTTTCGGTTGCCACCACACATATCCAAACTGTGGCTTTCGAAGAAAGAAGGCTTCAAACATCATTCAAGCCATTTTTTTTCCCAACGGCTTTGCCTCGGTCAAATGACGTGTAAGGGTTTGTTGACAAGCGGTGCCATCAGAGAAAACTCCAACTTTTACCACCCGGATGTGTGATATCAAGGTGAAAAGGTCAAGCCTGCTTTCTTTGGCCGGCCCAGGGTACCAACTGACGTCCGCGGAGTGCTTCGACCTGCGTAGCGGCCGAGTGGTGGTTGACCAATACTGCCATTATTACCCAGAGAACAGCAAGCCCAAACCCAAACTGCAGGAGTGCAACATGGAGCCCTGCCTGGCCAGGTTACAATGCTTGATTTGCTCTTATGAAGACACACGATGTCAACATAAATAATCATCTCTTATCTTTTAGTGACGGCTACAAGCAGATCATGCCGTATGACCTATATCACCCCCTCCCTCAGTATGTCCTCCTGACTTTCACAAAAAACAAAAAAAACATGAGGTACCGTCCACGCAGATGCATTTCCATCATTTGACCTTGTTGTCTTGTAAGGTGGGAGAGCAGCCCTTGGACCGCCTGCTCCACTTCCTGCGGCGGGGGCATCCAGACTCGCTCGGTTTCCTGCGTGGAGGAAGACATGCAGGGGACGGTCATCGCAACGGACGAGTGGAAGTGCCTTTATGCCCCCAAGATGGCCATCCTGCAGCCCTGCAACGCCTTTGACTGCCCCACCTGGATGGCCCAGGAGTGGTCACCTGTAAGTTGAGTTCATGTAAATTCACACTCACGGACGGGATGCTTGAGGCGGCACGGCCCAGTTGGGACGATGGTTGTGGGTTTGACCCTCAGCCGTTGTGTCCTTGAGCAAGATACTGAACCCCTCCCAGTTGCTCCTGATGCTGCGTCTTCAGTGGGCGAATGAGGACACGGCATTCAAAAGCTTTGAGTGAAAGTTGAAGCACTATAAACGTGGCGATCATTAGGTCCACCTGCCCACCCAAGTGAGAATTGCATATTTCTCAACTTTTTTAGTGTTATTATGCTACCCATCAAATGTTCGGACTATTCGAGGATGAACCTCAAACCCTTACAAGTTAACTTAAAGACATTCTCTGAGCTGTTGAGTGTTTCAGGTTTTTTTTTAAATCCACTTGCTCTATTCTGGAACAAGGAGTTGAATAGCAAAACTCACAATGGCTGTTAAATCAATGAAAATTTCCAAGGACCTGCCGACGACACTTCGTGACACTCTTTGCTCATTTGTACATTCAAAATTTTGGGGACGTTTGAATTAAATTCACCCGCAAAGATTTTGGTGCATTTTTACTTTGACACGACAAGTGTAAATGCTGACCACAAGCTCAGATTTGGAACCAGCAAGGTGAAATGTCACTCTTCGATGCGTCAGGCTCCATGAATTCATCTTAAATCTCCCATGGCAGCCATACAAACACACAGAGAGGCAAAAAAAAAAAAAAAAACTTGGATACAGTTTACCTTGCACATACTTCCCGGAACGTGCCGTTTCAAATGCTTGGTTTGGCAGAGGACGCGCAAAGTTCAGAAAGCAGCGGGGGATTTTGGAGCATCTCCTCTCCCAACCTTCGAGTCAAAGGCCAAGACATTTTAGTCAGTCAGGAAAGGATGAGAGCTGGCCAACTAACACAGATTTATCTTTCAATATATGCAAGGCGAGAGGTATTAACTGTCCTGTATCCCCCCTCACGCCGCTTTCAGTGCACTGTGACGTGCGGTCAGGGTCTGCGCTACAGGGTGGTGCTTTGCATTGATCACAGGGGGCTCCACGCGGGAGGATGCAACCCCACCGCCAAGCCCCACATCAAGGAGGAATGCCTGGTGACTGTGCCCTGCTACAAGGCCATCGGTGAGTTTGGAATCAAGCCGTGGAAATGCTTTCGACTCGATGCCTGACTTTCTCCGCCCTCTCTGCTGCTTCAGACACGCTCCCCGTGGAGGCCAAACCGCCGTGGCATAAGCAGGCCATAGCCCTGGACGAGGAGACCGTTGTGACCGAGGAGCCGGAGTGAGTTCGCATGACGGCGAAACCCATATTGCAAAATACGACACGGTGTTGACAGTTTCCAATGGTATTGTGGTTGCGGTGGCGTCGCGAGCTAGCCGGCGGTTTCCACCTGTTATCCACACCTGTCAAAACACTGCATGCGCCGTTGGGCGCCGGGCTTTCGAATGTGTCACACGTGTTGTATAGTGGTGTGGATCACCTCAATTTACAGTTTTAACTCCATCGGGTCGGGTCCAGGAGGGATTTGGCGTGCGTGTTGTGTTGATTGTTCGCCTTGTCCCAAGTTCGATGTTTCACGCTTCCTTTTCTCCGCTCAACACCTGCGTTGTCAGATTCCGCTCGTAAATGTGATGGATGGGGTGAGCTAAGGTAACAAAAGGGATGTTAAAAGCAAGAGGGGGCGAGGGGGGTGGCGGGGGCGGCGGGTTTGGAGCAAGTCCGCCCGCTTTGTCTCAGACGCCCCGTGTTGCTTCGGCACATCCGCAGATGTTGCAGATGTTTTTTTTTTTGTCTTGCATATCAATTGACTAATAAAGGCTGTCCTCCAAAGACATTTGGAGTGCGGCCCGGCGCGTTGCATGACTTGCATTAGCGAGCATGTTCGCTAGTTTGAAACATCTGTGGCTTTGACTCATCTCTGGTGAGAAAGCTGCGATGAAGGACGAAAGAGAAGCGCGTCTTCCCCCCCCTCGCAAATACATGCGTGTAATATAGCCCGCTTCACATGCCAACACTAATACCGTATCTGCCAACCATATGGGACAAAATTACAAAGGCTACTCTTATGTTGAATTTACCCCCACCACCCATAAAAACAAAAACAAAAAAAAAAAAAGAAACCCACCACTGGATGAAATATTTCCACTGTCGGAAATGTAATTGATGAGATTAGGAAGGGGCTTTGGCGGATATTGCAAACATCTGCTCGCGGAAGACATCACCATAACTCACAAACATCTTTTGGTGGATGGCTTTTATTTGTTCACGTTAAAACACTTTGCGTCCTTGTGAAGGAGAAGAGCATGACTGCAGTTGAGGTCCTGTGGGGAGACGATTCAACCAAGGCAAACATATTCATCCGTCATCTGTTAATGAACAGCAGCTCATTTTACCGTCGAAACGTCAGTGAGTCATCGCAGACGACCTTGAACGCAGTATGATTTAAACCAAAAAATCCTTTCCTTGATCTCTTGGTTCAAGATGCCATTTCATGCGCATTCCTGGGGATGTTGGATTGACATGAAGCGTGGCTGAAAAAAAACAAAACAAAACAAAAAAAGCCACCGGGATTTCATCGAAAGAGTTCCACTTGAGCTGTTGAAAGGACCTCTCGCCCAACCTTGATGGACACGGAAGAGCTCCGAGTGTTTCTTCTTCCTGATCCGTTCTTTTTGAACCAGGAAGGAAGGGTTTATCCGTGGACGGGCCATCGTAATGCGTCACAGCTGTTTGATTAATCGCTTTATGAAGCCAATTTTGGCAGGACTGAAGGTGGATTTAATGTCTTAACTCAAGTCAAAAGAGCATGTCAAAGTGGAAGAGCGGAATTCTGCATTTCCAGCCCGCCTCAAATGAAAATAACAAAAATTAGCATTATTTGTAAACATGAAACTGGCTGACCCCGGTTGATTCCGGGAGAGGTTGCTGTGGACTTGCTTGTGTGTGTTTCCCAGCACACTTCATTGTTGCTTACGTTGGTGAAAGAAAACAATTTAAAACGAAAGGTATTTAAAAAACAAAATCAAAAGGAAATAAAAAATAACTACTTGTACAGTGGTACCTCCACTTACAAAATTAATTGGTTCTGGAAGAATTTTCTGAAATAGAAGATTTTGTAAGTAGAGACACGTTTTCCATGTAAATGCCCTAATTCGTTCCAAGCCCCCCCAAAATTCAGACATAAATGTTTTGGAATGCATAAAAATGCATCAAAATATGGAACAAATACATGTTACAATTAGATGATTGCACAATAAATGAGTAAAGAATAAAAATGATGGTCATTTAACTTTTAACTGCATCCTCATCGTTTTTTTGCCCTCTTTAGTTCATGTTCTCTCTCAGAAGTAGTTTTTGCCTGGCGTTTTATAAAAAACTGATCCAAGGACGTTTGCTTTTGTCATCTTTTAACAATCCTTCGAAAATGTCCAAGGCAAACTTCAGCATCGTGAGCGATCGCCCGACTGGTGAACACTTTTTCTGGGTGATTCACATTTACGTAAAACTTTCCGAACGTCTCGTGGCCCGAGGAGAGAACGACGAGGACGCTGCATCGTCACCTATCTTTCTATTTACACACATAGACACATCCGGTAGAAGTCCCTTTTAGCCAATGGGATGCCAGGATGATGCTCGGTAATAGCCAATGGCAGAGCAGCTTTGAGTATGTTGCGTTCATGAAACTCGGAAATGCGAAGTCGTCCATACTGTATTTTTACGTTTCGTATCTTGAAATTTCTTTCGTAACAAGAGGCAATATTTTCCTGTTGAGACGTTTCGTAACTCGTCAGTAAAGGTACCACCGTATCATGGAAATTCTAAAACGAAATTCTAAAACGATGATAATCTGTGATATATAATAATATGTCACGTTTGCTCGTCTCCCATTGCCAGCTTCATCCCCGGTGCTTGGCAGCCCTGCAGCAGAACGTGCGGTGCCGGGACTCAGCGGCGCACAGTCAAGTGCCGGGTGTTGCTCTCCTTCTCTCAGACCGTCGCCGACCTCCCCGATGATGAGTGCAAGGGCGTCAAACCTGCGGCGAGTCAAGCCTGCTACCAAACTCCCTGTAAGAAGCCAGCGGGCAGCAATGACCGGGACGTGGAGGATGATGATGATGATGATGATAAGGAGGAGGAGCAAGAGGAAGAGACCCTTCAGAGAGAGGAGCTGCATGAATGGGAGTACGACGGCTTCACCGAGTGTTCCAAGAGTTGCGGAGGAGGTGGGGAACTTTTTCCGGTGCTCGTCGTCTCCTATGTACTGCTCATAAACCTCGCTTGTTTGAATCTCAGGTGTGCAGGAGGCCGTGGTCATCTGCCTGAACAAGCAGACCAGGGAGGCGTCGGCAAACCAGAGTTTGTGCGCGAGCGCCGGCAGGCCCCCGCCGCTTCTCCTGGACTGCAAAACGCAGCCTTGTCCCCCCAGGTAACAGTTTCAAATCAATGACTTGAATCAATTTGCGCGGATGCGTAATGGCTGGCTTGGAGGCTCCTGCGCCTCCGTTAGTCTCGCACCTGCAACCACTTGACTGTGAGAAAACATATCACTATTAAAATAATCCCATCGTATATCCGTGACATTATTTCAGTCAACCGGACGGAGACGGATTGCTGGCTGTATCAGGGGAGAACAGGAAATAACAATTGAATGTGAATGACTGCGGACCACTGATGGCGCACATTTTTGATTTAACGCCTCTCGTGGTGTCACGCTCTACTGCTCCCTCTCGTCACCAAACGCGGAGGCTGGAAGCCTGTTTTTCCAGGCCTTGAGCCTTATTTTCAGGCACAACAAACGCTGATTTGGACGTGTTTCCTTTGGCCTTTCGCTCTCTCCCCGAGGCCTCCTCACGCTCCCACATTAAGCTGCACTCTTTTTTTGGATCGTATCCCCCGTGAGGAGAAACAGCCATAGCGTTAAAATCGAATGCCCGAAAACACGCTACATTCCAGATTCTCCTCAGGGCCCTGGAGTAAATATGAATCATTTGGAAATGAAAATGTTTAAAGTAGCCTCGATTCATGAAGAGGGAGAGGGATTATTTCATCAGACTCACAGCGTGCGGGTGAGAAAATCAGAAGTGCTCCAGTTCATCCAAGAGCAATCGCACTTTCCAGGTTGTAAAAAGCACATGGTCATCAGAGTGGGCCAACACCACAACATGATTCGGTGCAGCGATCAGTAATCGTTGTAAAAAGCACATGGTCATCAGAGTGGGCCAACGCAGCAAGGCCAACACCACAACATGATTCGGTGCAGCGATAAGTAATGATGGTATTTACAGGTGGGAAACGGGGGGGTGGAGCCAGTGCTCCGCTTCCTGTGGGGTCGGCCTGATGTCCCGCAGCGTGGCATGCGTCCGTTTGCCGTCTCCGGACAGCAACAGCACTGAGCCTTTGCCAGATGAAAACTGCCATGACCCAAAACCAAACCCCATCCAGGCCTGCAACCGCTTCGACTGCCCCCCCATGTGGGAGACGCAGGAATGGGGAGAGGTAAAAAGACAAATGAATCACTCCAAGTGGACCCTCGTAAGAAGATGATGACATCCTCGTGTTTGTTTGTGGTTGTGGTTGATGTTGCTGCTTTTAGTGCTCCAGTCGCTGTGGAGATGGCGTTGAGAGGAGACGGGTCCTGTGTAAACAGCGCTTGGCCGACGGCAGCAACCTCGAGCTGCCAGACTCATTTTGTTCCTCCACGGTACCGGCAAACCAGCGGCTGTGTAGCACAGAGCGGCAGTGCACCCCACTTTGGGTCACCAGCTGGTCCCAGGTAGGCTTGATGCGGTGGATCACACTCACGTACCTCGGGGAAAGTATCTGGTACCGTATTTTCCGCACTAAAAGGCGCACTGGATTATGAGCCGCACCTTCAATGAATGGCCTATTTTGTAATTTTTTTCATATTGGACGCACTGGATTATAAGGCGCATTCTACAATGCATCCACTAGATGGAGCTACGCTCCTTCCGTTCGACTCGAGAGGCGTTCATGACCGCCTCTGAAAAACAGAAAATCAAGCGAGGAAATCACCAAATTAAATTCTATAGCCCCCCCTACAGAATTAATTTTGGCATTTCCTTGAGCGTAGCTCCAACAGAACGATCAGATGTCAGTAAAATGCGGGAAACTGGACTGTCTCAGAAGTGTTTGTTATGTATTCCTTTGTTGTATTCACAAATGAGGAAATGCCAAAATAAATTCTGTAGGGGGGGGCTATAGAATTTAGTTTGTGATTTCCTTGCTTGATTTTCTGTTTTGATGCATTATTTTCAATTTTCGTAGTTTCATTGAAGGAATCGTTAATTTACGCTTTTCGGAGGCGGTCCTGAACGCCTCTCGAGTCGAACGGAAGAAGAGAAGGCACGGAGACGGACAAAGACGTACCTGTATTTGTTGAGACGGTGAAAACCGTTAATAAAGTGTGCGTTTTTAAAAAAACAACACTACAGCTCTCCTTTTTTCGGAGCTGCAACAAAAACTTTTTGAATAAAGCAGCGACACAGTTCTCTGAACCAACAGCAAGTTATAACATTGTAAGCATGTCTCCAGCAAGGAGCCATCTTGGGGTCGACATATTACCGTGATGACCATACGCAAGGCGCACCGGATTTTAAGGCGCACTGTGAGCTTTTAAGAAAATGGAAGACTTTTAGTGCGGAAAATACGGTACCTTTGATGGTTCTGACCCATTGTCCCCCTTCAAGGTATGACAATTTCCTTGTGAAGTATTTTGTTTTTGTGCGTGTGTGCTGTTCACGTGCAGTGTTCAGTGACCTGTGGAAATGGTATGCAAAGACTTGAGGCGGTCTGCAGGAAACAAGGGCAGGACGGACAATATCGCACCGTAGATCCAAACAACTGCTCCTCTCTGGCGCGACCCACAAGGATCCGACCGTGCTCTCTTCGGCTCTGCAAGAGTAAGAAACCATCTTTTCGCTTCGAGCGGTAGATTGTCAAGAAAATAACCGAAGCGGTGCGTCTTTGGTCACAGATTCACTGAAACCCGACCCGACTATCCTGGCTCAGAGGAACGTGTATATTCAGTGGAGGAAGAGCAAAAAGGTCCACTTGGTGGTTGGTGGCACTGCCTATCTGCTTCCTTGGACCACCGTGGTCCTTCGCTGTCCCACCCGCCACATCCGGAAGGCGAATATCCAATGGTTGAAGGAAGGGAAGCCTCTAGTGAGTCTCCCACACCTGTTTGTGACACCACTGGGATTTGTGAAGATCCAGCAGGTTGGTCAGTCTGATGCCGGGACGTACGCCTGCGTCGCCGGGCAAGCCAAGGAGCATTTGGTCCTCCAGGTCATTGGAGCCAAGCAGAAGTTGCACGGACCCGAGGCAACAAGGGTACAGGAGCTCTCCATCTCGCCTAAAACCGAATACATTGTCGAGAGCTTGCTTCAATTCAAGGTTGAACAAAACAAGACCACCTCGGAAGACAGGGGTGACGTCCCCAATGTTATCATTCTTGATAGTCAGAGGCTGGATGAGCTCGACAACATCAGAGGAAAGCAAGGCGAGCAAGTGATTGCTCAGTTACTCAGCGAGCTGTCCCTGTCCCACGACGAAACCAATCACTCAGCTTGTCACTCTCCGGAAATGGATTTACCCTCCACGCAAGGACCCCTTCTTCGTAAACCCAAAAGCCATTCGACTAGGTACAGAGCCCCGGTGATTATCCATAGCCCAGAGGAAGTCGGAACGGTATCGTCTTCCGATGTGACTGTCAATGTCGGGGCGCCAATTTTGCTGCGGAAGCCTTATGCCAGTTTGGAAATCAAATGCGAGACTCTTGGTTACCCGGAACCATCCTTAACCTGGACCAAAAATGGAAAACTGTTGCGTCACGCTAGCAAGTACGACCAGACAACTCATGAACAAAACTGCAGGTGAGATTAAGATTTAACGGAGTGGACATTATGTCTTTGCACCGGCAGTCTCGACCTGTTGCCAGGCGGCTCGCTGAGGATTCGGTCTCCAAACCAAGCGGATGAGGGTCTGTACACCTGCACTGCCCGGAACCGACTCGGGTCCTCGTCACGCTCGTCTTGGTTGCAGATTAAAGGTGAGAACCATATGCCTCTTTCAGTTAAAATAGGAAGTCAAGGATCCTCCCGGAGCGTTTTGTTTCGCAAGCGCAGCTATTCGTTCTGGGGGTTTTTTTAGACTCCCAAAGTAACAGTCGATACATTTTGCAGGCACTGAAATGTTTCAAGTTTATGAGTGCTGATCCAACCCCAGGGCCAAGCCTCCGTAAAGGGACAATGATGTACATTTTTTTTTCAGGTGGTAGAGATGTGTCTACTTTTCCGGTTCAAGCTTGGAGTTTCTGGGAAGTCACACTCTTTTCACTCACACACACACGCATACACAGTTTGAGCAGAGCCACCGCAAATGTTTTTACGCCGGGTCGTGAAGCAGTGGCTGGTCTGGCTGAGTCAGTGGTGGGGAATGTGTGGTGCGTGCCATCAGCAGAAGTCTCTTCAGAGCCGCACTGTCCCACCTCCCCTCCAAGCGTGACCGCTCGCAATCTCTCTGGACTCCAATCAAAGTGACGGCGCCGCTGCTTTCCTCGCGTTCTGGCGCTTTTCTCACTCATACGACAACAATTAGATGCCTCCGGGGGGGAAGTTTCAAAGCAGATAAGCCGCTGAGCTTCGAGTTATAAAGGATATGGGGGCTGTCGAGGGACAAGCTATTTTTTTTTTTTCCTCCTCCTGTAATTCCCATCCACTGTATTTTCAGAAAGCGGTGCGCTGCGTGAAGGGCCCCGAAGGCGGCCTGATGGAGGTGGACCGCCACCGCTGTCTCGGCGCTGGACGGAGACCATCTGACACCAGGATGTGTAACATTATGCCATGCGCTACTTGGGCTACGAGCGCGTGGGGATTGGTAAGGCCACTCGTGTTAGCCGATCATCACATCAAGTCATGGAAAAAATTAGGAGGACTGCTCCCTCACTCTGTCTGACACGCATCTTTGTGACCTTATTGGCACCAAGGGCGAGGCTGACTCATGGCTCGAGTTGATCATCAGCGACTTTTTTTTACATGCCGTTAGCCATTTACTCCATGAACTGCATCATATTTTCTCACAATCATGACGCATATTTTCTAGCCACCTGCCCTCTGCAACACGTCCTCTGATTATACTATACATACTCTTGTTGTAGTGCCAAATGCCGACACTTGTCCAACTTACAACATGTTGGCATTTCTGCCCTTTATAATTGATGTGACAAACCGAGATTCGCTTCCTAAGCTGAATCTTCTACTGAGAAACTGTTATATCATTCAAAAGTGATGCAACGCCAACATCGATGGCAGTGGTTCTTAACCTTGTTAGAGGTACCGAACCCAACCAGGTCATATGCACATTCGCCGAACCCTTCATGAGTGAAAAGTAAAAAAATATATATATTTTTTTTGCAAAGGCATTTATTAAAAACAGGATTATACTATACATACTCTTGTTGTAGTGCCAAATGCCGACACTTGTCCAACTTACAACATGTTGGCATTTCTGCCCTTTATAATTGATGTGACAAACCGAGATTCGCTTCCTAAGCTTAATCTTCTACTAAGAAACTGTTATATCAATCAAAAGTGATGCAACGCCAACATCGATGGCAGTGGTTCTTAACCTTGTTAGAGGTACCGAACCCAACCAGGTCATATGCACATTCGCCGAACCCTTCATGAGTGAAAAGTAAAAAAATATATATATTTTTTTTGCAAAGGCATTTATTAAAAACAGAAAAAAAGTCAACACAATTAGTCGAAGTAGAAAGTATACGTTTTTTTAATTGTGCACAAAATGAACCAGCCAGTGATGGCCAAGCGGGTGTGTCATCACTAATTGACATGTTGAGTCGGGTGTGTCTTAACCTCCATGGCAGAAGCTCCGTCGAACCCCTGAGACTGATTCCTCGAACCCTTAGGGTTCGATCGAACCCAGGTTAAGAACCACTGATCTACGGGGATCTGATAGTCATCGGTTTACAAACCTGACTTTCACAGACAAGCTTGGTGAGACTGTCTTTCATGCCTATTCGCGGTCAATCGTTCTTGCCGAATATATTCATCGGTGGAGTTAACGCTTGGATTTCAGCTGACAAATACAAATGCCCAAAGCAGTGAATGATTTGATCTGTTGGAGTGGTTCTCAAACTTTCCACACCGTACAGAGTTCGTAAGTATTTAATTTCCATGTCAAGGATCACTGATAGAGGTAATTCTGTTTGCTTCAGTGTTATTTTTATTTTTAAAACTCTCTGACAACGTGTTGTTCTTTTTCAATGTTATAGTGCAGTGGTCAATGCATGCGTCCAACTTTGGCCAAACAACACCGCCATGTTTTTTGCCAAGACACAAATGGCACCAAAGTCCCCTCCAGGATGTGCAATCGACTCCATCGGTAAAAATCGCCGTTCTGACGACACGTTTCCTCCGCCGGGTATTGCTTTGTGACCCTAATGTGTTCCTCTTTCAAGGCCGAGTGCCACGAGGAACTGCTCAGGGGACGCCTGCGCCTCACGGTGGCGAGTCGGACCGTGGACACAGTGCACCGCCACTTGCGGCCGGCATGGCTTCCAGTCGCGTCGAGTGGTTTGCTTGCAGCGGCCCAGTGGAAGCTGCGTGCAGAGGCGTCGTCCCGTCAGCTGGCAGCGCTGCAATACGGTGTCCTGCGGCAGAGGTGAGCTGTTCCAACGTAATTGTGTTCGAGCACGGTTCAAGCGTGACACTCTGAAATGGTCAAAATCGCTTCATGTCTGAAAATTGCACATTTTCAATCAACAAATGTGCATGACCAAAAAAGCTATTTTTTATTTTTGTCATCCAACTGATATTTTTGGGTCATTTTAAAATTTGACCAAAATTTGGGATGATTAAAAAAAATAATTCAACAGTCATTTATAGTTACATTTGGAATTTGAACAATGTTTCGGGGAATATAAAATATAATTATGCCTCTTGTCATGCAGTTTGGAATTCAACCACAATTCTGCCCGTCAAGTCAAGCAATTTGGAATTTGACTGAATTTCTCAAATAAATTTGGAATACAATTTTGGAAAGCCCCAAAAGACTTGATTTGCAATTCCGTTGATATTGTGGGTTGAATTTAGAAGTTCACCAAAATTTGGGATGATAAAAATTGAATCCCTGACATGTTAAGCCTCCGCTTTTTCACGTTAAGAGTTTGAGATGTTTTACACTGATGCTTTGATCACCGTAGCTGCCGGAGAGTGTCGCGACAGCACCAGGTACTGCGAGAAGGTGCGGCAGTTGGAGCTGTGCACGCTGGCGCAGTTTAAAAGTCGCTGCTGTCACTCGTGTCTCAATACCTGATGAACGGGGGAAACTTCAGATGCCATCGAGGACCTCCGCTTCTCCCTGTGATGCTGCAGGCATTGACTGAACGGAGGGGCATATCACACGATGGACGTTTTCAGATGTGACGTGATGTGATAACCACTGGAAAGGATTTGAAACACATTTTCCAAAGCATTTTGAGTAGGAAAAAAAAACTCCAATCTGAGATCTGAATTGACAAATTCAATAAGGTCGGAGTTTGAATTGAATGTTGCACTCATGACTGAAGCAAACATGCGATGGGAGAAAACGGAGAGGAAAGTATTTTGCACTCAAAACTCAACTAGAGTCTTTGTTAAAAACATGACTTGTTGATTTTTTTTTAATGTTACATTTCTATATATATTTGCTTGGTGATTTTTAAAAAGCTATACTGTATGTCTAGATGTCTAGTTTAACCACTTTTTTATGCTTTTGCACATTTAGTCGTGACATGCTGTCGCCTTTTAATTCTCCTTTTGGTTTGGCTCCCAGGTGATCGACAAGTCAGCACAATGCTGAAAAACAGCAATATTGAAGCATCATTTTTGCGTTTCTCCTTGAATTATTGTTCTTTTCTTTCTAGTATATATTTTTCATTCATTATTTATTCACCAGATTGGCACTTTTGGATTAAAGTGCAACATGTTACAGATGCTTGGGATTTTATTGAGGTGCGATTGTTTGATTTTATGAGAAGAAACGGTTATCAACATATCAAGTATACGCTTCAGTTGTGTAGATGTGTATTTTGCCTTATTTATTTTCATGCGTGTCTATGTGTATAGTTTTGTTGAGAAATAAAATGGTTGGATTTTAAGTAATTGAATTCGCCTAAAAACGGTTGAATTTGATGTACATGCCGAGGCCGCCCTCTGCCGGTGACATTGTTTTTTTCATGTAATAAAATGAAGCACATTCCTTTTATAACATGTCGCCTTTCGTCATTGTTATTATTATTATTATTATTATTATTATTATTATTATTATTAATTGACAGCGCTGAATTACACCAACATTTTCATAGCTTCCGAGTTTCCGTTTTTTCCAACACTACAGTGTGGCGCATACAAGTGACGTAATATCTTGCGACGGCAGTATTTACTGAGCGCATCATGCAGAATCGCTCGTTAGAATTCGGCGTCTATTAGCGTCCCTATCACCTTTTTTTAATTACATGGGGAAATTGCGCCCATTGGCATATGCATTTCCAGTTTATAAACGTTTAGAGAGCAGGACTGTGTTGTTGTTTTAAACGCCACAGTAGTCCAGTTTGGAAAGTGACTGCTGTGGCTTGGGATTCATCTCGGACGCCATTGTAACGTTTTGGTCGATTCGGTCTCCGGAAGCAAAGGATGAGCGAGCCGAAGAAAGCCGCGAATGACGAAGGGGGTCTGAGCAAAGAGACGGACAAGAAAAAAAGATCCCGCGTGAAGCAGCTGCTAGGCGAAGTGAAGAAGCAAGTTGAGTTCTGGTTTGGAGACGTCAACCTCCACAAAGACCGCTTTCTAAAAAAGCTCATTGACGCGTCGGATGATGGATGTAAGTCGCCCACATCGGACAATGCATCGGACGTGTATTGATTGTTTTTTTGTGTGCTTTGTCTCAGATGTTGACTTATCCGTGTTGGCGAGCTTCAATCGCATGAAGAAGTTGACGAGCGACACCAAACTGATCGCCAGGGCTCTGAAGAACTCTTCCGTGGTGGAGGTAACGTGCAGCAATCGCCTGCCTCTGCATTTGAATGAATAGCAAACGTGACAAACTTCCAGGTGAATTTAGAGGGCGATAAAGTGAGACGGCAGCATCCCCTCGGAGACGTTCCAATAGACGTGGACAGCCGCACAGTTTACGTGGTAAGCTTTTGTTTTTCCTCTTAAGTCTCCATCGACGTCACGTCTACTTTCCTGTGGCAAAAAGTGAAACAATCACTTTGCATGTCATTTGACCGAAGACCCACAGTGATCTATGAACGTCTTTGCTCGATCAAATCACATTAGAGGAGGATTAAAAGTCATGTTTACGAATTGGTTTTTTTTTCCAAACGTTATTGATCAAATGTGCTTTGTGTCGATCAGGAGCTCCTGCCCAAGCATGTGACTCACAGCTGGATCGAGAAAGTCTTTTCCAAATGCGGAAGCGTCGTTTACGCCAGCATCCCCAGATATAAATCCACCGGCGATTCCAAAGGCTTTGCCTTTGTGGAATTTGAGAACCCAGAGCAAGCAAATAAAGCCATTGAGGTTAGCGTATATTCATAATAAGCGTCTGATTAACTGTAAGAGAATAAAACTTGAATAGATTTGCTCTTTTTTTCCTGTCCAGATGCTTAATAACCCACCTGAAGACGCTCCCAGGAAGCCGGGAATTTTCCCCAAGACTAAGAATAGGAAACCTATTCAGCTGGCTGCAGACAATCCTCCTGCAAGTAGGATTTGCCCACATAAAAAGCCACTATTGCTGTCTGAATTTTGCCCTTAGTAGGAAATGACTTTTTGAAATATGTGAAATTGAAACCTCTTGCGTTTTCATTCTGCTGCATCCCCTTTGCGCCTCGCGTCATTTCGCACATTCAAACTGTGAATCAGCGTCCCCTTTTTTATTCATTTTATTTTATGTTATGGTCCTCTCTTCATTTTCAAAAGTCTTGGGACTTACCTGGCTCTCTGGTGTAGTTTTTTTGCTCCGTGTCATGGAAATTTGTGATGGTATAACCCGAAAAAGTCCTTGGATCTTTGTATCCTTGAAATTTGATGAAAATAAAATGCCTTGAATCCTTCACCTCAACTTTAAATACAACTCAAACGGATAACGTGAAAAGAAAAATAGCATTAAAATGAGAATATACTAAATTAATTGTACGTGAAAATAACATCCATCCGTTATCCGAGCCTCTTCTCAGTAAAAACAAATACCGGCCGTTTCTGCGCATGTTGGCCTCTTGGGGGCAGTGTGGTGCCATGCATAGAAGGAATGCACTTATAGAAATAGAAAAGAAGAAAGATTCGATTCAACTTTATTAAAATAGTTTTTTCACAGATTGTCAAGAACTTTGAAAAGTGTTATGTTCTATGTATGTGTTCGTGTGTGAATTTTTGTGAAGGACTATCCCTCCCAAAGGTGATTGCAATTTTCCTTTAGCATGTCAGTGGGATTTTACATTGACTTTAGCGTTAGCATTAACAATGTTTAGAACTCTTCCGCGCTCAGGTTCCAGCTAGGAATTGTTTTTCTTGCCATCTCTCTCTTGTAGGTGGCGGCGGGGAGGAGGAGAAGAAAAAGCGAAAGAAGAAGAAAAAGAAGCCGCTAGCAGAGGAAGCCAAAGTAGCGCCGATGGACGCCGAGCCGTCGGATCAGCCGCAGCCGCAGCAGCAGCAGCACAAGAAGAAGAAACAGCAGCAGCAGAGTTCAGATGCCGCAAGTCATAAGGCAGCGAGTAAAACCTCAGAGAAAAAGAGACGCCGCTCGCGCGCAGTGGGCGAATCGGAAGCGGCGGTGCCTTCCAAGATGAGGAAGCTCGGGGAGAATGATGAAGTCGCGTCCAAAAGCAGTAAATCAACTCGGCAAAGTTTGGGGCGCAGGCGGGGACCAAAAAGCAAACTGAAAATGAGATTGCATGTGCTCTGCAGATCCTCCTGTGGAAGGCGAGCTCGGGAAAGAAAACCAAGAAGACCCGCTGGGCAAAGCCAAGAGGAAGAGGAAGAAGAAACACAAGGAGAAGCTGAAAATCGGCGAGGAGGTCATCCCGCTGAGGGTCTTATCCAAGTACGAACCCGCAATAGCTACAGCACCACCGCCGCTTGAGTAAAAAAAAAAAAAAAAAACCTCCGGGCGAATGACCACGTTTGTGCGGTCATAGGAAAGCGTGGCTGGAGCTCAAAGCGGAGTACTTGCAGCTGCAGAAGCGCAGCATGGCGTCCCTGAAGAAGTGCATGACGCAGCTGGACGGCGACGAGCGGCAAGGCGGGGACGAGAGTAGTAAGTCGTGCGCCGCGCCGCGGCGCAACGCTTCAGAACATCTCGCACGAAACGTGAAGTGGCTTGGTTTGTGTTTTGGGGTTTCTTTCAGTGGAGGCGAGCGAGAAAGCGAGCAGTCAGGGTCCTCAGTTCATCAGCGGCGTCATCGTGAAGATTTCGGACAACAAGGCGCTTCCAGGGAGGAAGATGATCAAAGTGAAGTGCACTTGAACCCTCACGTTGTCGCTCACACTAACCCATTTAAAAGAAAAGAAAAAAATTCACGTTTTTGACCATTTCAAAGAAAAAAAAAAATCACTCTTTCAATGCATAAATTTGCAAAAGAGAACCTATTGACTCCTTGCCAATCTTGGGCATTCCGGAGAATAGATGATGACTACTATCAAATGAAAGAGTAGAATCTTCTTTCATCATAAAGAAAAACGATAATCTACCTTATTCCATTTTTTAGTACCAGTAATCAGCAGTAGAAAATGGGTTTGTTTCACCCAAATCACCTATTTTGGACCAAAAACGCAGAAAACAAGCCTTTTGTGAGGAAGTTAAATTTTATGATCGACAATGTCTGTGATGCAAATTATTTTTTTGCTTTAGTGATGCATCAAACATCCGAACAGTCCTTTTCTTCTTTAAAATACAAATGACAACAATAAAAATGTGCTTTTGATGGCAAAATGAATTTTTACTTTTGACCACTATTTATTAGTAGTAATATTTAGTAGAGTGTGTGTGTGTGTGTGTGTGTGTGTGTGTGTGTGTGTGTGTGTGTGTGTGTGTGCGCGCGCGCGCGCACGTTTGCATGTATATTTACGTATGTATATTCGGTCATTGCGTGTACTTCTTCCGTTCCTAATGTGTCCGCTTTCCTTTTCGACACAGGACGCCCTGTGCAAGATCTCGCCCGTGGAGTACGTGGACCTGTTGGAGGGCGACGCCGAGGGCTACGTGCGCTTCAAGCGCCCGGAGGACGCGCAGGCCATCAGCGACACCAAGGCTGAGCTGCAGAAGGCGCACAGCTGGCAGCTCGAGATCCTATCAGGTCCGAGACACACACACACACACAAACACACACGTGTGTCCAAATGTTTGCTTCTAACGCTTGCGTGTGGAAAAACACAAAGAAAAAAAATGAGCAAGGCCATTTCGGAAACTAATAATTTGTTTATTTTTTGTTGTTAATAGCCTGGCAATCATGCTAAAAGTCAAGTATTTGTCATGTCTCACTGGAATTCCCAATCGAAAACGGCCTGAGCCATAAATTCTAAACAGATATGTTATTGTTTTATTGACGTGCGAGTGGTGCAAAACAAAGAAGTGAGGGGCATCAAGAACCAATTTCCTCTGCTGCTGAAAGTACGACACGGGCGGTAAAGAAACGTGTCTCGTTGTGTCGTCGTCAAAAGGTGACAACGAGCAGAGGTACTGGCAGAAGATCCTCGTGGATCGTCAGGTCAAACTCAACCGGCCCAGGGAGAAGAAGCGCGGCACAGAGAAGGTGATACTGCAGCTCCTTCGCGCTGCTCGCGACGGACATCAAGCTCATCTTTCAAATCCTTCCGTTTCAGCTCCTATCCAAAGCGGAGAAGATCATTACAGCTCGCGCCAAGGAGGCCAACAAGCACATTCGCTTCCAAGAAGACTGACTGACTCACTGCCATTTTTTAAGGGAAAAGCCGTTTTAATTTTTTTTTTCTTTTCATCATTTTTGTTTGCACTGAAGCACCAAGTTGTGCTCTGTTTGTGATGTAAATAGAAAGAATCTCCGCACATCTCGAATGCGGACAAAATGTTAGTTTTTCACGTCACTTGACAGATGGACCCTTTTCAAATGTGCATTATGCATTAAAGAAAAACTTTCTGAATTGTTGACATGATTGACTCCTAAATAGTCCTTCAGCCGTCCACATGATGGAGGGGCGGGGAGGGGGATGACTCAGCAGGAATTAAATCAAGCTAATTGCTGTGAGTATGGGTTGACCTCGCTTCTATTTTTCATGGTTTTAATAGTTTTAGCCATTTCTCTTCATAACAACACAACCCTCTTCCTCGTCATGATTTTCTTTTACATTGTTACCAGGATATCGACTTGGTTGTTATGTAGCAGCTAGCACTACCAGGGCTGTGCAAATCACATTTTTAATGGCCATTTGGGCTACTGAGCAAAAATCTGATGAAACTATGATGAAGTTTTATAGAAAGTTGCTTTTGAAAATTGCTTTCGACCATATTTATTTGTACGATGCACAAAAGTTATGTCATTTTAGATGTTTTGAGGTAGAGTAATGGTAAATGGGCTTTTTCACGTGTATTGCTTTTCCACCTGCAAGGCACTTCACACTGATTCCTCATTCACCTGATGACACGGCATCTGGAGAAACTCCGTTTTCTGTAAGTTGCTCAAGGACACTACGAGTGGTCTGGATGGGGAAATGACCGCTCCACCAATGAGCCAGGCATCATGAATATCAGCATGCATATTTAATACTTTGGAGGTATCAGTAGGGTGATATCTGCAAAATTGTTTCAAAAAATATACAGGAAATACATCTACAGCCTAAGATGCATGCAAATAATGACCATGAAATAATTGCGAATTCATGAATTTTAGTTTTGCACAAAAAAAATTCAATGATTTCCAATCTGCAGACCAGCTGCATTATTGGAAACAATTCTTAAAATATCAACATAGTTCAGTAGCAACTGATACTGTACTAATTGTCATTGCAGATGAAAGCTGTCAAGAAGTGTTATCGCCTAATTCCAGTTGCATACTTACAGACTAACTCACCTATGGCTAAAAGAAGACAATCACGCAGTAACACAAAAATATAGATAAATATCTTTCTGTTTCTTCATAGTTGGACATATTACAAGCCATATTTTAACAGATTGTTCAGGATATGTACGGGGACATTGTGATTTGGGTGTATTTTGGTGGCCATTTTGAAAAATCGGTTGAACCAATGTAAGATGCAATTTGAAACCAAATAACTTATTAAATGTGCTTAAAGTAGCCAAAATGGCCACAGAATCTACTTGTTTGAAATTGTATGTCCTTAAAAAACGTTTGATTTGCACACCCAAACACAGCGTACTCTTGAGCAAAAGTTTTGACATTTGCGTCAATAATTGTAATTAGACGAATCGTGAAATGTGTATTTTTGTTTTAGCTTTAATTGTAAATTAATTATTTTTCAGTTTTTTTTTTCAGGTATCTGTAACAGGGTTGTGCTGAACTCAGTAAACCAAACGAATCAAATTACAGTATATGGTGGTTTATTTTTTGGGCATAAAAAAAGAGTTGTTTGCTGCTTTTATCCACTGGATGGCGACATTTCACCCGAAAAGCGTCACCCAACGACCGCTTGCTAATTAACATTAATTAGTATCTCGTGTGCCTTCGTGCGTTCCTCCTGATGGATTCCATGTTGTGCCGACGCGTTCTACGTAAATCTCGGGAAAATAATAACAATTCCACGTTCACACTACGCTTGTTTGTCAATTTCAAGTTTAATTGAATTGAAACGAACGTGCACGCCACTTGATTTCACGGCTGTCGTCATCCTGTGAGTGACTGCAGGGTGCCAAGAGAGTTTGGGGGCGTGTAGCTGCCATAACGAGGGTGGGGGCGTGTGTGTTTGTGCGTGTGCGTGGAAAAGCTGCAAGTGCCCACGCCGCCTTGACTTACACGCAATTCCTCAGCGCCTCCTGTCGCGGATCGCGGACGTCTGAGGTGCAACAAGTTTTTCGGCGGTGTACGTGAACGCCTCGCGACCGTCAACCCGCGCCGTGATTCGGATGGAGCGTGGAGCGTCCGCGGGGAACATGGACGAGAAAGTGGCCCCTCGGCGTCGGGCCGCTAGCGTCATACCGTCGCTGTGCTCCGTGGCGTCCATCGCCTTCTGCGTGGTGCTCAGCATCCACGCAGCAGACGTCAGGCGCCGGCTGGCTGGCTTGGAGCGCGGTGTGGACGCGTCGACGCGCGCACCGGCCGACGATTTGGATGCGCTGATTGCGCAAAAAGTCAACGAGATGCTCTCCCAGGTGAGATCGAGCCGCGCGCATGCCCGATTCTCCTCAATGAAGCCGCGCTGACGTCACGATGTTTTAATCCTTCCCACGCAGCGTTCTTATGAGCAATTTGTCAAGATACGGAGCGCTCGGCAAGCATCACCTGAATGCAACTGTCCACCAGGTGAGCCACACATGGCGCGTGGGAGTGAACGGGGAGTGGTGCGTTCAAGGACGCGGCAGATGTTGCCGCGTGTTTGGCAGGTCCGCCGTGACGGATGCGCGCAGCTGAGATGGAGCGAGCGGCCTAAACATAGACGTGCTGAGTGGCTGGCACACTTGCGATGTTGTTGTGAAACGCGGACAACACATGAGATTCCCGCTTGCCGCCGGTAGATGGAATCATTTGTTCCCTCTGATTTGTGTCCAACATTTTCAAATTCGGTTTTTGGATTGGCAGCTCAACATAGTCTCACAGTACATACGTGCAGCAGTAAATTTAAAAAAAAAATGGACTTCAACTTGCATGACGCAACCATGCACCAGGACAATTTTGATTCAGATGCCAATAAAAGTGTAGACCCATGACTGGCATTTTCCTTAATTTCTCAGTGAGGAACGTATGCATTTTAAATTTCAAATGCAAAGTGGACAGTTTTCTGCTGGTTTAGCCTTGGCAGGGTTCTGTCCTCTGTCACGCTATGGTGTTCAGGTCTTCAATTATTCTTGGCCAAAATTCGGCGAGTCGAGTCAAGTGATTGCTTGGGTCACGCAAGTTGTAAATAATAAAATGATGATCAATCACAACAGAAATTAGAGGGATAATTGATTTCCGGTGATCATGACACAAAAAGTACATTATGGCTACAAATCAAATGCGCATTTATACCTCTAAAAATTGAACAAACAACATTTTAAGAGTTTTTATGAGTTCCAGGCTCTTACTGTGATGATAAAACGTATGTCAACATCAGATTTAAAACTAGATATGTTGTTTTTGGTGCCCGTCTGTTTCTGAAATCTGTTTGTGTGTGGAAACGGGTGAGTGAGAGGCATGAAGTGTATCGGTTGTCACTTTGTGAAGTTGAGTCAAGTTGACGTGCAATGGTTTAACGGGGCCCTGCCACATCAAATATGGCGATCATGCTTACAAACAAAGAATTACTCAAAGTGTAATCCATGTGAAAATCACGATTGCTTTTTTTGAAAGAGTATACTTTCAAGATGACGCTCTCATTGGTGTGGTGTCTAATTGATGGCTTTATTGGCTTCTCCATTATATTCGGAACCGTAATATGTAGTTCATATTTAACCGGCGATTGGTGAGCTAAACTGTCAAGCTAATAGCTAGCTTAGCATCAAAGTTCACACAGCTAGCTTTACCTGCGTCTGGCTTTTTTTCTAATGATTACTGACTGTCAAATGTACTTTGTAAACAGAATGACTGAGTTCAAGTTAAATTCAAGTCGAGTCTCAGTCACAAATTTGGCCACTGAAATGTGACTCGAATCAAGTCATGTGACTCGAGTTGCCCAACTTTGATAATTAGCTAGTGCAAGGTAACGCTGAGCAGACAATGGAGGCGGGGGCGGCAGCCAGCTGCTTCTGCTTTAGACCAGTCACCTCATGAGACGCCCACGCCTTGAAATTCTCGGGACAGCAAGCAATTACGCTTCGATTGATTCTCCATCGGAGTTGAGCAAGTCAAGTTGAGCATGCGGTGCTTTCAAGTTCATCCCGATGACTCATCGCAAGCTATACTTGCTCTAATTCTCCATTTGAAAGCTCGAAATAGACTTTTTTTTTTCTCTGAAAGCGAAAGCGGCGGCCGCGGCTCTTTTGAAAGGGCGGCACACTTTCCCGCTTTGCTTTTATGGCGTGTGTGGAACCTGAGGGCAAAATGCTGAATGGAGAGCAACAAATCAAACCAAATATCTTAGAGTGCTTCTTCTCACGTGTCCATCAACATTTACTGTCTAGCTAGGTTGACTTGTTGTGTGGATGCAAGTCCACAGCAAAAAAAGAAAAAAAAATCTCTTCCTGACTTGGGGGGTCTTACCAGCCTCGATGGAGGTTTGCCCTCGACCAAGTGCCATTCTAATGTTGCACTCAGTGATTCATTCAAGTGCAGTCTTTGTCGTGTGACGTGGGCGTCATTGCCACCCCCTCCCGCCCCCAATGCCTCTCTGACCAAGCTGGGCTGAGGTTGCAGGGGGTTTAAAGCGACCACAAAAGCCAGCTCATAGACCCTCTGTGTCATCCCACCGGTGCCCTTTGACCCCATGACTGAGACCTCCTTTGAGTTCCCTTCTCGAGCCCACACTGCAATTCGCCGACACTTTCAGAGACCTTCTTGAACGTGTGGAACAGTCGCTCTTTGTTTTCATACGGGGAATTTTTCTGCGATTGGCAATCATATTCTTTCATTTGAGCTGGCTTGATTGTTTCTTGGAACACCAACTCTTCCTCTTCCTCATTGAGGAAGATGGCTGGCAGCTGTGTAAGCCGCGCTAAAATCGGGATGTCAACGTGCTAGAAGTGCCGGGATTTTTGACCGGGCAAATGGTTTGGATGCCTGGGTCAGATTTTCCAAAATTGGAATTGGGAGTATGAACATAGCTTAAGTGTTGTTCGGGTGTTTGGTACCCTCCAAAGGTACTTACTGGAAGGGCAACGTGCAATTCCTTGTTGCCTACTGAAGACATTTGGGTTTCCGATCAAAAGATTAATATGAGACAAATGTTTAGAATTTCAGCTTTTATTTCATGCTATTTAGAGCTAGTTGTGTTCAACAATTCAGGACACATCATCCTTTTGTTTGAACCCAAGTGGGCAAACGTATTGCAACCTACGTGCGATAACTGCATCACGCCTGCGACACACTGACTTCCCCAAACTGTTCATGAGAATTGTTTTTCCAGGCCTTCGGCCTCTTTCAGTTCTTGTTGCTTTCGGGGGGTTCGACAAGCCTCTAGGAGGTGAAATATCACGTTCCAATACTTTTGCTCACGCGAAAAGTGGATGGCTCCGAACAAGAGGTGCTCTGTTCCGAGTTGTTTAGCACACTTAAGTGCAAATACCGTGAAATAAAAGCGCTGACCCGAAACCCAAATGTCTCCAGTTTGCGACAAGAGTCAAGGAATTGATGCTGCCGTTCCAATACTTTTGGAGGAGACCGTATGTAGGCATTCAGTGCCGGTCGGGTCCGGCTCACTGGCAATGTCTTCACGTATTGAACGTGTCAGTTGGGTCATGTCGCTCATTTGGATGTTGTGTACTTAGCACGCACGCATTCCGGCTCGGGTCGTGCGCTTGGCCAAGCTCCCGCTCCATCGCGGAGAAAGCCGGCCCTGTCAGGAGCCTGAGCAGAAGAGTGTGTGCTGATGTGTGAAGCGACAAGGGGGCCCCGGTGGATCTCGACCTCGTCTGCTGCCGGGTGTAAATATGGCTGTCGCCGCAGCAGGTGTGGTGAGCCCACTTTCACCCCCGCGGCTGCAGGGACACCGTCTTGGAGGAGTCAATATTTGCGCTCGCCATCAAAGCCGGGCCTGTTGATGCATGAAAACACAACTTGTGCCGCGTTCCAGGGGATGTGCGCTGGAAAATTCATTGTGATGGCGATGTTCCATACTACACCAAAAACTCTGCTCTCTGACTAAAAAGCAGAAAAAACAAGATTTTTAAAAATTATTATGAATAGAAAGGAACATGTTTCGCAGGAGAGTGACTTTGAATATTTATCTAAAACAGTGATGTTTATCTACAAGAGCGACGTCGCCCGTCTGTTTCAAGCGGAGTCATTTGCCCTCAAAACTCCACATAAGGGAGAAGTCAACCCCAAAATTTTCTTCACAATAATATGTTCTATGCACCTCCACTAGTCTAAACATGGCATTCTAATTCATATTGTGTTTGTGGAATATGCGTTAAGCAGGAAAATCCACCCATTTTTATCCATTTCAGGGGGCGGCCATTTTGCCATTTTCTGTCAACTGAAAATGACATCACGGTTGCGCAGGCCTCCGGTAATGACCAATCACGGTTCGCTTGTTTTCTGAAGTCGAGACATGATTGGTTGTTACCCGAGCTATGAGCAACTGTGATGTCATTTTCAGTCGACAGCGAGCGGCAAAATGGCCGCCCCCTGAGATGGACAAAAACGAGTGGATTTTGCTGCTTAACTCATTTCCATAAACGCGATATGAATCAGAATGCTGTGTTTCGGCTAATCAAGCTGCAGGGAACTTATTGTTGTTAAGAAAATTTCAGAGTTGACTTCAGCTTTAAATCGCATGTTGTGGTGCACTTTTAAAGCGTTTTGAAGCAGTCAACTCATGTTTTTTTTTGGGGGGGGAAATCCACAAAAATGGCAGCCACTGAGGTCGCTAACTGTCACAATTTTTCCAAGTGAATCTCACAGTTGACCGTGTGCGTGTACAGTCCACCCACCGCAAGCCATAATCCTTTTCACCTTTCTAACAACACTCCCCCACTCTCCTCTTTGTGTCCTCTCGGCAAGTGTGTGGAAAAACACTCGCAAGCCTTTGCCGGGGTTTGCATCCCCTTCGTGCGGTCGGCTCATTGAAACCATCCGTTTGCCGGGCATTTCTGCAAATTTGCTGAAGGAGACGCAGAATCCGGACAGCGGGACGCCTCTGGTTGAACGCACCATGAAAGATGACAGTTTGCATTTTTTTTTTTTCCCCCACGAAAGCAGACAGCCAGGCGCACAGAGCAATTGCGCCACATCACACATTAGCAGGCGTCTTGCAGTAAACAAGCGGCGAGCACCGCGTCCTTTTTAAAGCCTCCTAACTTCCTTCCGTCGCAGTCCTCCGAGAGGCCGCCCGCCCGCCCGCCGCACCACGGGGAGCGAGGAAGTCGGCGCGTTTCATTAAGTGACGGTCCCGGAAACAACGCAAGCTCTGTTAGAGAGGGGGTGTGGGTGGAGGAGGGG